AGTTTAAAAAATGGAAAGGCTTCCGGACCATTTAGCATACCAATTAAGGCAATGAAAATTTTAAAATATGTTATATGCAAACCATTAGAAATAATATTTAATGCCTCTATATCTGAAGGAATAGTTCCTGATAAATTTAAAATAGCTCGTGTTATCCCAGTTTTTAAAAAAGGGTCGCATAGTTTCCTGAATAATTATCGACCTATTTCACTTTTATCAATATTTAATAAGTTACTAGAGAAACTCATGTATAAAAGACTTCTTCATTTTCTCCACCGTAAAAATATTCTATACGAAAAGCAATTTGGCTTTCGTACCAAATATTCAACAAGTCATTCAATTTTATGTATAGTTGATAAAATTCAACAAGCTATTGAGCAGAAAAATCACTCGTGTGGGATATTTCTAGATTTAAGTAAAGCTTTTGACACAATCAATCATAATATTTTGATTAAAAAGTTGGAGAAGTATGGAATTCGAGGGCTAGCTCAGCAATGGTTTGTTTCTTATCTAAGTGGAAGAAAGCATTTTGTTTCTTTTCTGAGTAGCAATGGTGAAAATGTATCATCAGATCTATCTACAATAAATTGCGGTGTTCCGCAAGGATCTGTACTTGGTCCACTATTGTTTCTCTTGTATATTAATGATTTTCATAAATGTTCAAAATTATTGGATTTTCATTTATTTGCAGATGAGTCAAATTTATTCTATAAACACAAAAATCTCTTGTCACTTGAGTCTGATGTTATCAGGGAACTAAGTAATATTCATGTTTGGCTTTGTGTAAATAAGTTGTCTCTCAACATAGAAAAATCTAATTTCGTTTTATTTCATCCAGTCCAAAAGAAAATAACATGTGCCATCAAATTGAAGATTAATGGTACTGAATTAAAAAGAGTGCAGAGTATGAGGTATCTTGGAGTTTATATTGATTCTCATTTGAATTGGAAATCCCATATTGATTATATCGCAAAAAAACTGAAAAGAAGTATCGGTCTACTCTCTAAAATTCGTTATTTTACCAACCTGAATACCTTGATAAAGTTATATTATGTTCTAATTCACCCTTTTCTCATTTATGGTATAATATCTTGGGGTATGACATATCCTACATCTTTGCGACCTTTATTTATTTTACAGAAAAAGGCTTTGCGTATAATTAACTTTTCTAAATTTGATGCTCATTCCACACCAATATTTAAATCTCTAAAAATAATTAAATTACATGATCTTTTCACTCTACATGCCACGATGTTTATGCATGATTATTATCACGAGAAATTACCACCTATCTTTAATAATCTTTTCACTCCAGTCAAAGAATTACATACTTATAATACGAGGTTAGCATCAAGGCAGTCGTATTCTTCGCCAAAAACAAGAACTAATTATGGAATTTTTAATATTAGATACCAGGGTGTTAAGATATGGAATTCCCTTGATGAGGCCAATAAAAAATTGTCAGTTTTTAATCTAAAAAGTAAACTTAAGGAAATGTTTTTTTATTCATATTAGCCTATTGCTCTGTTCATTTATGTATCGAATTGTTGAATTGCTTTCATTATTTTTAATTATTGATTTTGCTAAAACATTCTAAATCTTAATAATAATTTCATAATTATATGGTGTTTTGCTTCTCTCTGTGGTTCTGCTAAATTGAGTAAAATATTTATGTAAATTGACTACTTTATATATTAAGCTTCGTTATATCTGTTTGTCAAGCGTTGTGTGTAAAACGTCTGCCTGATTCATTTAGCCCCTTAATGGTTATTTCGGGCAGACGGAACCCATGTCATCTCAAAAAATTAATGTAATGTAAAACTAATGTAATAAGTGGGTTCAAATAAAATGTCTTGTCTTGTAGACAAGTTAGGGGCGGACCATTAGAAATCCCGGGAGGGGGGGGGTATAAAATTTTTGCGGCACGAATTTTTTTTTCAGTCTCATGTCTCTGCAGGAATTTTTTTTAATGCATTTAACCTCTGCACGAATTTTTTTTCAAGACTACTTGTACTTTGCTGTTTGCTTGCACGAATTTTTTTTCTCTGACGTAATGGCTGCACGAATTTTTTTTCCAGGCATTTTTCTTTGCACGAATTTTATTTTGGGAATTTTCACACACCCCCCCCCCTCCCGGGATTTCTAATGGTCCGCCCCTTACTCATAATCATTTCCAGAGGCGCCGGAATATCGATAATTGGGGGGGGGGCAGATATTCATATATTCGTGTTCACAGACGGTAAAAACAATCGATTTCAAAAGAAATTAATTAGGCAGACCACGAATATATGAATATCTGCCCCAATTATCAATATTCCGGCGCCTCTGATCATTTCCTAAAAATGTATCTATGGTACGGTACCACAGATACATTTTTAGGAAATGAGTAAGTTGTCTTAGTGATAGGCATTATTAACTCTACCATACTATATAGTGTACATACACGGAGGGATATTTATCGTAAGCCGTTAAACTGAAAGGACTGCAATTCTACCAACTCCAAAATTTAAAAAAATAACGTAATCATCAAATTTTGAATAGTTACAATAATAGTTCAAAGTTAAAAACTATTTAACATAGATATGCAAAAAATAATTAAATATTTTCGAAAATAAATTATGAAAAAAATTATATCGGTCCAATCTATTTCGTTATTGTCTGTCCAATTCCGGGGGCAAACTGATAAGGTGGGGGCAGGGGCAAGCGAGCACAGCAGAATAATTCGTGTATTTTTACCTGTTTCTCTATATAGATGTACATATAGAGAAACATATCATCGATAATAAACTCGCTCGAAGATCAAGTCCATGTTTTACAAGTTCATGTTTTACAAGTCCATGTTTTACAAGTCCATGTTTTACAAGTCCATGTATTACAAGTCCATGTTTTACAAGTCCATGTTTTACAAGTCCATGTTTTACAAGTCCATGTTTTACAAGTCCAGTCCATAGTTTACAAGTCCAGTCCAGTCCAGTCCAGTCCAAGGTCCAGTCCATGTTTTACAACATGCCAAAATAAAAGTGTACAAATATGTCAGGATGATATTTACGATGCTGACTGTTGACAAGTCACTTATGGTCAGGTATATAAAATCTCGTTCGTTTATTATAGCATTCTTGGAAAGGGCCTATTTGATAGTTCCCCTATTGCATACTTTGAACTGCATTGACAACTGGTCTGGATGACAACTTAAACGTGCCACGACACTTATTTATGGGAAAAATGAACTTGAGTTTCTTCATAATAATTCATTATGTATAGAAAATATTTGCCATGTCCCAACTAAGTGGAAATATGTGTATGCGACTACTAACCTTAGTATCACAGCGATATTGACATCCTCTTGGGCAGAAATTAGGCCGCGGGCAAATAATACAAAAGCACTCACAGTAACTGATACAGTAGTACGTAACTATTACACCAGCCTCTACTCGGCGCTGACTGTATCTCCTACAATCGAAGCAGGGATTGACTTAACAGAAAAAAGAAAAAGACAGGGTTACAAAACTATCTGCGCAGACGAACATAGTGCACCGCCTATATGTATTAATTGTATATAAATGCGCCATTAGACTATGATAGTTAATCAGTCAGAAATGTTTTGTTCCTAAGATCATTGCTATCATCATCGATTTGTGTTTACGGCCTAAGACGGATAAACCGCCAATCAAGCTTGCGCACAGTCTTGGATTTATCTCATCAAAAGCCTGAAGTATAACAAAAAATAAATGCATCTTATTTCATCAACACTCGTGCCATTAAAATTTTCCAACTACTGATGCTTTTATCATGGTCATATTCATTTACTATTACTGTCGATGCAATGGAAGTATTGATAAAATATTGCACCAATTCCTTTCCTCAAGTTGATCAATTCATTTGATAGAAAATTGATCAACTTCCTGTTACTTTTAGATGAGCCATTTAGGTCTCGTTTCAGAACCGATTGACCATTAGGAAACGCACAGGAAGTAAAAAGAAATTTGAATTCGTATGAATTGATCAACTTGAGGAAATGAATTCATGCAATATTTTATCAACACTTCCATTGCATCGACAGTAGGCGTACCAACTCAGTTTCTGCATGCCAGAGTATGGTTTTATTCTCAACATTTAACAATTCATGAGGATAACAGCCAATTATATTGCTTTATTTTCTTAATAGTAGTAGTAACAATAATAATAATAATAATAATAATAATATTTTTTTTAAACCCAGTTACAAATCAATTACATAGCCTGACCCATATAGTCATACATTTATGAGTCGAGACCAAATTTTCCCTAATTACACTTAATAAATAAGACAACAGTTCTCTGAATAAAGCAGGTCCGTTATCTACACTGTCACACATTAGTAGCTAATAGAAGTTGAGCTTTTCAGGGCAAGACCAGTTCTTATTTCTCTTACAAAATATGTAGAAAGTGGCACGAAGTGCAACCTCCATACATTTTGTTATGATATACGATCGTCTTGCAAATTTAACAACCTACATAGCCTACGAAATTGGCCTATACTCTTCGTGACGAAGCCTAGAGTAGTGACTTCCAAAGTTATAACTTTAAATCTATCACACGGTACGAGTAACTGTGATCGCAATACCCAATATTTTTCTTGTTTACGTCGTCTTGCAATCATACAGTTCGTTTCATATGGGACAGTCAATTCAATCATAATAATAATAATTCAATCATAATAATAATAATTCAATCATTCAATAATAATAATAATAATAATAATGGAAACTTTATTTATTGATTGTTAAGATATATACAACTACAATGATAAATCTTGCTTTACAGGTAGTTTATCAATGTCTACTTGAATTGATACTATATATTTATTGTACAATAATTATTTTAAGAAGGATTATATTAACATTAATTTTGGGTTATCCCACACCTTGTTTCGTTTACAAAATATATAATATGATGTTCGTATGCATATGTTCACGATTTTCTTTTTTATGTATTTACTATATTTGGCATCACATTTAAGGCTACTTGACGAAATTGACTTCATCATAATCTGCTTCCTGCTCATTGATTAGATCACGGTACTTTTGACGCTTACGATTGGCGTTAACTTGCAGATTGGATTCATAACCGACTGTAAGCTCGAGGATATATAGACATCTGTTTCCAGTCACCAGCAGAAGGTCAGATTGTAAACGATCTCCCGTGATAACAGATGGATTAATAAAACCAGGAATGTCCGCGCAAAGTGTGGAATTTTTCACAGCAGTAAGAGTGGATGCGAGGAAATCTAAAACAGAATCGTGTCGCCATGTAAACTGGCCTTCGTCTAAATATGTCTTACATCCAGCAATCACATGGAGCAGCGTTTCAGGTGAGGAGCAGAAAGAGCAATCGGATGTTGATGATAGTCCCCATTTTGATAGGTTCAGTTTCGTGTTGGAAGTGTGTTATTGATATATCGGATGGTGAAGTTAAAAATGTTTTTCGGAAGTTTGCTCTGAACGGATGACCATAAAGAGTTGAATGTGGATGTGGAATGATTCATGATACTGGAAAAGAAAGAACCTTGCGAAATGAGGTATAATAATGGAAACTTTATTACTTTCAATAATATATGTACACACTACAATGATAAACCTCTCTTTACAGGTAGTTTACCAGTGTCTACTTGAATTAACACTCTACATAATAATAATATTAGTATGACATTAGTTGTGGGTTATCCCATTCTTTGTTACGCTTACAGAATATATAACACGAGGACCTGATACATATGTTAATAATTTTCCGAACATAGTACTTTCTACATTGTTCATCAAACTTTAGATCCTTCAGCATTTCGGTGAAATCTAGCGACGGGTGGCTGAAAACTCCTAATGAGCTAATCGATAAATTAACAAATTTCACTTTCGAATCTCTTGCGTTGCCTCGTTACACTGAAGTTCTTTAACTCGCTTAAATGGTATTTAAGTTGCCGACGAGAAAGATGGTTGTACTTTTGCTGGAATATTGACCCTTCGCTTATGCTGTCATCTTCGTTGTTATAAGGTCCAAAGTTTGACTTGAAATATGTATAAATCATGTCCTGCAGTGAGCTAATTTCAGTATTAATATCAGTTATTTCGATACTGATATTCAAATTTGCTCTAAAATATTCATTAGCATTATCCCAACCGATCGGTGTTTTAGGTAACTTTAAGCCTGGTTTAACGGGTATTCTCTGAAATGAATTATCTAGACATTGCGTTTCTTCATTCTCAACTGAATCTATTGCACGTGCTTGCCCTGGTGGCATCGGTGGATCAGAGTCTTGTGCAAACAGCAGGTTGAAATCTAGATTAGCATTAATGGGACAGTGTTTACGATGCGCTTGAAGGCCTTTAAAATTTTTTCATTTTTTACCACAATGGCATTCGGCATGTAGCAGATCGTGATCGTCGGTTTCTAGGTGATGATCAGCTGCTAAAGCCTCCTGATCGTGCTCGTTATTCAAGCTAGCAAATGATAGTTCAGGAAAGACAACGCTGTTCGATCGTTCCTGGCCAGCATCAGAGGCTGCTCTAGGCGAAGCAGTGAACGCATCACTGGTCACGCGTGCTTTACAGCGCCAAACGTGTCGACCTAAGACAACAAAATCTTTACCACAGTAACTACACACAGTACCTTCTGTTTGAGTGATCATCGACAGAAAGAGCAAACCAAACAGCAAGCACACATTAGACCCCAAATACCACTGCTTCCTTTCCCTTCGATAATTGTTTCCCTGTGAAACTGCCATGCTGCTCTACTTCGTTAATAGTACTTCGTCGGTGTTGATTGAAGACTCCTCAAACACAATAACTTGTTCAAACAGTGTGATAATAAGAAAGAATAATAAATCTTCGCACAGGATAAAAAGTAAGCGATGTCTGGATCTTCGCACAGGATAAAAAGTAAGCGATGTCTGGATCTATTGAAACCAATTTGTCGGAGCGTAAAATAACACATCCTACGCCAATAATAATGTAAACACATTTTATTTCATTTCATACAAATATTAGTAACCAGCTCTCACTAAAGTATTATAGGCAACCTGGCTACATTATGGTACAAAAGATTAAGAAAAGAATACAATGTTAAACTAAGCTTAAAATATGTACAAATCATCAAAATGGAATTTCTACAGAATAATAATAATAATAATAATAATAATGAAAACTTTATTGAATTTTTTATGCACTTACAATTGAAAATCTCACTGTTAAAGGTAATTTACAATTGGCTACTTGATACGCTATATATTACTACATTTACATAACACATGGACATAATTATATGATACAAAAAGTAAGAGACTAACTAGAAGTTCATTAAATCTGGATTCGACCAATCCTTGTTTCTAGAACAGAAAACGTAATATGTCGTTCTTATTGCAATGTTAATGATTTTCCTAATGATATATTTAACACCGGCCTTATCTGAGTTCAAATATTCCAACATTTGTATGAAATGTGAAGATTCTTTTTCAAAAACACCGAGTGCACTGATGGAGAGGTTAATGAACTTTACCGGCCGGAATTTTTTCTTTTGTTCTACGATCATTTCTTTATATTTTGAATATTTGCGCTGTATATTATTTCTCAGGTTAGTCTCATATCCAACGGTTAGTTCGAGTACATACAGACAATTGTCTTTGGTCAAAATTAGTAGATCAGGACGATGGTCATCACCAGTAATAATAGAGGGATTAGGGAATGACGGTAAGTCAGCATAAATGGTCTGAATATGTTCTGATAGGATCATGGGAGGTTATTAGCAATAAAATTTAGGATTGAGTCGTGTCTCCAAGTAAATCGATCAAGATAAGAACTACAGCCAGCAACAACGTGTAACAGAGATTCAGGTTTAAGGCAAAACGAGCACTCAGAGGACGAGGAGAGGCCCCATTTTTGAAGGTTTTTACGGGTTGGTAGCGAATTGTTTATGTAGCGAATAGTGAAGTTGAAAATGTTTTTTGGTAGTTTGGATTGACAGGTTGGCCAAATCGAATTTACTTGGGGTAGTGAAAATTTTGAGATGCTGGAGAAGAATGAACCTTGGCATTTTAACTGATTTTCCAATTTATCTTCTTGAATTTCACGGAATGACTTAATTACTTCTTTTGTCGACGTATACTGATCATATTGGGTGTTAGTATGATTACAAGTCGATTTCCAGAGGTGAGTTATTGATTCATTGGGAGATGACTTCAGAGCACAGCGGATAGTTGTTTGACATTGTATGAATTTAGTTGATGGGGGGATAATGTTCAGACTAAATTTGTTACTAGTTAGGTAAATGTTACTAATTATAATAATAATAATAATAATAATAATAATAATAATAATAATAATAATACGCCAATAATAATAATAATAAAAATAATAATAATAATAATAATGGAAACTTTATTTATTGATTATTAGGATATATACAACTACAATGATAAACCTCGCTTTACAGGTAGTTTATCAATGTCTACTTGAATTGATACTATATATTTATTGTACAATAATTATTTTTAGAAGGATTATATTAACATTAATTTTGGGTTATCCCACACCTTGTTTCGTTTACAAAATACATAATATGATGTTCGTATGCATATGTTCACGATTTGCTTTTTTATGTATTTACTATACTTGGCATCACATTTAAGGCTACTTAGCATGCCATCGAAATTTTCACAAGATCGGCCAAAAACTCCGAGGGTACTCAAGGATAAATTGACGAACTTGACTTTATCATAATCTGCTTCCTGCTCATTGATTAGATCACGGTACTTTTGACGCTTACGATTGGCGTTAACTAGCAGATTGGATTCATAACCGACTGTAAGCTCGAGGATGTATAGACATCTGTTTTCAGTCACCAGCAGAAGGTCAGGTCGTAAACGATCTCCCGTGATAACAGATGAATTCATAAAACCAGGAATGTCCGCGTAAAGTGTGGAATTTTTCACAGCAATAAGAGTGGATGCGAGGAAATTTAAAACAGAATCGTGTCGCCATGTAAACCGGCCTTCGTCTAAATATGTCTTACATCCAACAATCACATGGAGCAGCGATTCAGGTGAGGAGCAGAAAGAGCAATCGGATGTTGATGATAGTCCCCATTTTGATAGGTTCTTTCGTGTTGGAAGTGTGTTATTGATATATCGGATGGTGAAGTTAAAAATGTTTTTCGGAAGTTTGCTTTGAACGGATGACCATAAAGAGTTGAATGTGGATGTGGAATGATTCATGATACTGGAAAAGAAAGAACCTTGCGAAATGAGGTGGTTTTGAAGTCTTTGTTCGTTTTCTTTTCTAACTGCCTTAATTACGTCTTTTGTGTCTTTGTAAATGTCATACTGTATGTTCTTGTTGGTGCTCGTCACCGCCCATAGATTGTTAATGTCTACGTTTGGTGAGTATTTTAAAGCTGATCGAGAGACAGTTTGACATTGGATAAATTTTGTCGAAGGGAGAATAATATTCAGACCAAATTTGTTTTGTGGAAGCAACACGTTGCTAAGGGTTGCAGAGACAGGAAGATCCAGCCATTTTCGGACATATTTTGTCGCAATACTGTCTAACGTTTCGCAGATCCAGGTCTTAGATATATCAGAAACAGTGAAGTCCCAGGATATCTTTGACAGCAAGTAACGACTGCATAGTAGAATTTTATTTTTCGGGTGTAAAGGTAGTTCATTAATTTTATTCATGATGTCATTAAACACGTCGAGTAATTCTGATTTGTGTTCCTCATCAGACATATTGAAATCGAAATAGCGACCTAAGTACAGGTAACGGAAAGATTTGCCCATTTCGGTTCTGGGTACAAGATCGTTATTAACGAAAAGCTTGGGTAAATACTGTATAGATTTAGTTAAGTGTTTTTTAATGCCAAATGTTGAACATTTGTCAACGCGTATAATCATATTAGCCCATTGACACCAGATTGTAAAACGATTAAGGAGCATTTGATTTTCTTTCTCTTGGCTACTGATGACAGCAGCATCGTCTGCAAACTGAAACCAATGTATAGGATTGCACGGAATGCCAATTTCACTTAATTTCCAAAATCCAAGCTGACGGTATTTTTCAGATTTAATATGTTGTATGAAAGTATTGAATGACATGTTGAATAAAAGTGGACTGAGACAATCGCCTTGAAGAACGCCACGACCGACTGTAATGAAGGGGGTGTTAAACTGTTCGGTTATGATGGAAGTTTGGAAATCAGTGTAAAGACTGCAGATAAGGTTCTTTATGTGATTAGGAACGTGATGATAATCAAGGACTTCGTAAATGAGGTTATGATGGACTTCGCCAAATGCATTTTTAAGATCGAGTAATGTAATAACTACCCTTGCGAAAATAACTATATTATATTGCTATTTTAAAACTATTTTATTACTATCATCCCTATTTTTATGCTATTTTATTCAGAGGCAACCCTATTTTAATTCTATCATAATATTTCACTAAAAGAAAGAGCCATATTTTATTAATGTTTTATTTTATTTTATTCCTATTTTTGTAGATAATAGAAATAAAATCGCATATTTTAATACTATTTTCCAGAGCCTCAGGTAAAAAATAGGTTTAAAATAGCCTATTTAAATTCTATTTACTTCACCAGAAAGCAGTTAGAAATTAAAATAGATATAAAATATACTATTTTTAAACTCATAAAATAAAATAGGCTGTTTAAATCCTATTTTACATTGGAAGTTAAATGCACAAATTTCAAACAGGAATAAAATATACTATTTTAATCCTATCTTTCTTTCATAGTTAGCAAAATAACAATAAAATAGACTATTTTAAACATATTTTGCACGAGCAGAATATTACATAAATTAAAATAGATATAAAATATAGTATTTTAAAGCTATTTATTTTTCAGAATACGCAAAACAGAATAAAATAGACTGTTTTAAACCTATTGCACATTTTTAAAACTGCCACATTTTTCAAATAGGGATAAAATATACTATTTTAAACCTATTTACTTTCCCTAATTTGCAAAATATAATAAAATACACTATTTTAATCCTATTTTACATTTACCGGGATTCAGGATTACAATTTGCAGATATGTATAATATAGTCTATTTAAATTAAAACATTCTGAATTTTCCTTCTTAGCAAAATGAAATAAAATAGAACCGTATTTTATAGTTACACAGATAAGGGGCCATTCACAAAGGATGTCCGGCCAAATGATGGATTTTCAGACCCCCCTTGCCCCCCTTGTCCGGCATTGTCCGAATTAGTAACACCCCCCCTCCCCCCGGACATCCACCATGCCTCGCAAAAACTCACACAACCTTGTATATGTCAAGAATAAAAAACTTTTTTTTACTTTTAGAACTTTTTTATAACTATAAATTTGAATACAAAAACATATAAATTACTAATAAAAAACAAAATCTAGTGTTAACCGCAGAGTCAAAATGCCAATTTCACAATGAGAAGGACTGCTCAAAATAGAGGGAAAAAGAAATTTGTTTTTGAATTTTTTAAAATTTCGGACATCCGGATTGCTAAAACCCCCCCCTCCCCCCCTATGTCCGAGTTTGTCCTGATTTTCCAAACCCCCCCTTGGCTCGGACATCCTTTGTGAATGGCCCCTAAGGGACCAATCATTAATAATGGAAGGGGGGTGAGGGGCGGAGGGTGAGAAAAGGGGGAGGCTTCAACTGTTGCCTACACTGGTCATCCCATGCAGTGCTTCCACTTGCAAGGACATTTCTTTGCAAAAAGAAATAAAATTTACTAGGAAACGGCAAGGAATTTTGTTTTCAGCAAGGAAATAAGGATATTATGTTATTTCTAATAAATCCTAAGATTATAGCAATTCCCAAGCAAATTCGCGTCAGGAAATGTCAAAAATCCAAATCCTACTCCTGGGGAATGGAAAATCTCAAACATTTCTGAGACATGACCTCAAGCCTCCTGTTGCAGTTTTTTATAATTAATTTATAATTTATAATTGCAAGGTTCATGGTGTTTCTCACCCGAGAAATACACCGTCATTCAGGATAAATTATTGTAATATCAGTTTTAAACTAGGTAAAATTCATCTTCATCAAAGGAATTTTTGTCAAAAATAAGGAAATTTTGAGCAGTTGGGAAGGAAATTATTTTTTTGAAAGTGGAAGTGGAAGCACTGAATTTACACCCCACCATTTTTTGGAATTCACACTCGGACATCCAGCAAAAGGAGGCGCCTTCGGAAGCTGTTTCCGAAGATACTTTTCCGACTGCCGAAGTTTATATTGCGTGTTGCGTGATTAGCCTTGCGTAATAATGAGATAAGCCACATTTCGCGGCAAATTAGCCCTGCGCGGGAAAATGCAAATATTTAAAAATTGTAAACGCAGTCCCTACTAGTACTGTATAGAAGGTGGGCTCGTATTTTCTTTTTATACAGTCATTGGAAGTCAATTTGTCATCGCCAATATAGGTTGTTCTTTTAAGAACAGGCAAACTTTGACATACACAATGGAAAAGATAGATATTTCGGCGGCAACTGCTTTGTTTAAAATTAAATTATCTGAGCACTCTGGACTTGTACGGAATGTTGAAGAAGCAGAAAATCTCCTTCGACAATACGAGTTGGCTACCACAACAAATTTTTGTTGTAACAAGGTCAAAAAAGGATTTGGCAGTACTGGTACGTATACTCTTTTGATTTAAGCTAGCAAAGGTAATATATAGTCGATTATTCGCTGGATTTTATTTGAATTTCTGTAGACTTGATTTGCAATTTGATACTGGATTACAGTAGTTTTTAAGAGGGTCATAATAACCCCGCAAAAATACATATCTAATTACCACTTTTATATGCCATATAACCAGGGCTCGCCCATTTTATTATAATGATGCCTGCATTTGGATATTTTGTTTCGTTATCATGCATGCACACAATTTAATTTAATTTAATTTAATTTAATTTAATTTAATTTAATTTAATTTAATTTAATTTAATTTAATTTAATTTATAAGTGTCTTTAAAAATTAAAGATACTTATTTTATACTTTTGATACTTATTTGGGCATACTTACAGTATTTTTTAAATTGTGTACATGCATGCTAAAAATATAAGAAAATATACTAGTCCAGAAAAACAATTTCCAAAAGTTACGTGTTTTCATCAATTCATTCTTGCTATTATAAAACTCAACTTAGCATAAAACCTAAAAAAAGAAAGTTAAAACTGATAGTGATTCAAAATTTGTACTTGTACTTCCACCTGTATGATTTCTGTTATAGTAATATCTTAGTTTTTACTTTACATGTTTCTCTAATAATTTAGACCTTACACGTGATAGTCATAAGGTCTGGTGGGAAGACGAGCAGCTTCCTTTTGATCACGAACCTTTCATCCAAGTAAACCATAGAGTGTACGACTGTCGTCATGGGGTGGATAGACATTTAAGCCAGAAGAAAAAGAACAAGACGGTAAATATATAGCAGGGCCGAGGAATACATGTCCTACATTTTAAAGGTTTACTGCAAAAATGTCGGGCGTATTTCTTTCTGCCCCCTAATTCCCTCTCCCCCCCTCCCTGTATGCCTATTGGTTTTTCCTATTAAATTTCTTATGTTTTTTGTTTTGTGCATTTAATTTTTTCCATGATCCTTAGTACTGGATATTTAATTGTTAAATCATTTCTATTGGTGAATATTAAAGGGTTATTGACCGAGCGTGAGGTCTGCAGTACTGTGAAATATCAGACCGAGGTTTTTTAGTATGGACCGAGCAACGAAGTCCATGCAAAAAACAGAGGTCTGATATTTCACAGTACAGACCGAATAAGCGAGGTCAATAATCAGTTTATTATATGGCTGAAATAAGTCTGTGAGCATATGCTTTTCGCGCGAATTAAATCGGCTATCGTCAGTTTTACTGGGTAACAATATACGGTAGGCATGCATGCTCAATCAAAAACAATTTGGTTGTTTGAAATTTTTATCTGTAACGCACAATTGGAAATTTAAAAAGCAAAAAATTTTTCTGTTTGCAAAGCAAAAATTTCCCGCCAGATAAACGACATCCGGGACACCGGTCCAGATACGGAAAATACCGACCACGGTCCGGAAATGGGTTTTTACGGACCGCTTGTCAACCAATCAGAATAGAGAATTTTGAAAAGCCATATAATAAACAGTACTTATTAAATAGGTGATATGACCCTTACTTTCTCATACGAATATGATTTCTTGCAGTCAAATCCTAGTGACCACTCGTTTAAAAAGCACCGAAATATGGTTCAAGGAACAAGAAAATTAAATTGTCCAGCGCAGATACACATGAGGGAATACATTAAATTCCCAGAGTTTAAGGTACAGTACGGTTATAAATAGACTATTACAATGCTGTATCTATATAGAAATGTGTTAGATATGTGCAAAAATGTCTTGTGCTCTATAATAAATGGTATTATGTATTATGATAGTATGTATGATACACATAATAAATGGCATTATGTATGAACTTATTAATATGAACAAAATTAGATGACGCTAATTCGAGTGGCACCACAGTATATGGTATATGGTATATGACAAATAAAAGGTCACGGCCGCATATAATTCCCGTAGCTGTCAAGGAAGCATTTTCCAGCAAGGTGTGTGGGCAAGCGCAGTAGCATCATCTAACATAATTTAAACGTCTGTCTCGAGTGCTAATCCCACAATCATTGACTTGGGAGTATGTCTTATTATTTTCAACTCTATTATGTATTTTTGCTTATGGAAACTTATATGGTTTTTTAGATCGCGCAGAAAACGGAATGGCGACAAAAAACGATGTCAAAAAGACTGAGAGAGTGTATAAAAAAAGGTGGAAGTGGAGAACGGTGGATCCATATCCAGCTACCGAATCTTTCTGAGCACAACACTCATCCAATTGGAAGTGTAAGGATTTGAAATTGTTTGCAGTCATTTATACAGTTGGTATTTTAGACTCAATATATAGTAGTAAATTGCTTTAACATCTATAACGTATGTCGCATCACTAATTATAGGCTGGCGGTCTTCATCAAGGAATTGATAAGATGCTAGTCACCAAGATCCAAGAGTTGGTAGTTGCTGGGGCTCGTTCAGTTAAAGAAGTGAGGAGGCATCTGAAGATTTATGTTGAACAAGACCTCTACAAAGGAACAAAAGCGCCCCCCAAATCCAATCAGAGATTTTACCCATCCAAAACGACCATACGTAGCCATATTTACAAGGCAGTCATTAAAGAACGATTTTCAAAGTTTGATCAGGAAAATCTTCAAAAGAAAATTGAATGCTGGAAGTTGAAATGTCCTGACGAAATGTTTTTCTTTCGTCCGCTTGTGAAGTATTCAGAAGAGTCGTCATCCGTCCACGATAATAAAGAACAAAGTAATGATGATGATGACGAAGATGATGATGACGACGTTGATGATGTAAACGCAGTTTTCCCAGAATCAACAAACGGACTTTTATTCGTCCATCAGACCGAGAACCAGAAACGTCTTCTCCAGAGATATGGCAATGAACTTACTCTTCTGGATGCCACGTACAAAACAACTAAATACAGTCTCGCTCTGTTTTTTCTTGTGGTAAAAACCAACGTGAATTATCAAGTCGCAGGTTCTTTTGTCTTGCAAAGTGAAACATCGCACGCTATCACGGAAGCTCTCGAGGTTATTAAGGGTTGGAATAATGGGTGGAAACCAGCATACTTCATGGTAGACTACTCGGAAGAAGAAATGTCTGCAATCAAAAGAATATTCCCAGGTTAGTAGGCTATTACGTGTACAAATAAAGTTGGTGGTACAAATAAAACATTGGGTTAACATTTAGAATTCAGTCAAAACGAGTCGTTCAGCGCATGCAGCATATACAAAAACGTCTATTAAGACAATCATTGCTTCAGTGATTTGAAAGATCGATTTCTTCAGTAAGCTGAAAATTCATATGTAAACCAAATAAGTAAATAACTATAATACCACAAAAATCAATCAATGTTTTTGGAACTGATATAAATCAATTTTTGACTTTACGAAAAG